AAATAAACACAATGGACTATAACCTTGCGTCATGTGATTTCTGACCTAATTTCTTTTTGTTCAATTTCACAAGTCCCTCAGTCACACCTTATTTCTGGGGAATTCTCTGAAGTTTTCTTCCATAAAAACAAACACAAATTAACCATTCTTTTTCTCCACTGTAAATTCTCCTGTGACAAAAACAGGAATTGCTGGAAAAGCTCAGCAGGTCTGACAGCATCTGTGAAGAGAAATCAGAGTTAACATTTTGGGTCAAGTGATCCTTCCTCACAATTGATCTTAGTTAGGAGAATGTCAGTTTATGTGCAGTAGATAGTGTGCGTGGAGGGGATAAGGTATAAACAATAGGTTGGGTGTAGAGCCCAAAGAGAGAGAAGAATAGTTGGACAGACAAAGGAGTGTGAATAGTGTGAATAGCAAATAGCATTTTTCTGAAGAAGGGTCTAGGCCTGAAACATCAGTCTTCCTGCTCCTCTGATTCTGCTTGGCCTGCTGTGTTCATCCATCTCTACATCTTGGTATGTCTTGAATAGCAATTAATTGGGACTGTTAGTGGCTAACAATGAGTTGTGTGTAACAGCAGGCTTTGTGATAACAGGGCCTGGTGTGTGGGAGTTGGGGTAAGGACATGGGAGAGCTCCAGCAATTTCTGCTTTTGTCTCTGATTTACAGCATCTGCAGTTATAGAGTGATAGAGCTGTACCACATGGAACCAGACCCTTTGGTCCAACTCGTCCATGCCGACTGGATATCCTAAATTAATCTAGTCCCATTTGCTTTCCTATTCCTGAACCCTTCCTATTCAAATTTCATATACCCATCCAGATGATTTTTTAAATATTCTACTCGTACCAGCCTCCACCACTTTCTCTGGTAGTTCATTCCATACATGCACCACTCTGTGGAGAATTTGCCCCTTAGGTCCCTTTTAGAACATAGAACATAGAACATTACAGCGCAGCACAGGCCCTTCGGCCCTCCATGTTGCGCCGACCTGTGAAACCAATCTAAAGCCTATCTAACCCACACTATTCCATTATCATCCATATGTTTATCCAATGACCATTTAAATGCCCTTAAAGTTGGCGAGTCTACTACTTTTGCAGGCAGGGCATTCCACGCCCTTACTACTCTCTGAGTAAAGAACCTACCTCTGACATCTGTCCTATATCTATCACCCCTCAATTTAAAGCTATGTCCCCTCGTGCTAGCCATCACCATCCGAGGAAAAAGGCTCCCACTGTCCACCCTATCTAATCCTCTGATCATCTTGTATGTCTCTATTAAGTCACCTCTTAACCTTCTTCTCTCTAACGAAAACAGCCTCAAGTCCCTCAGCCTTTCCTCATAAGACCTTCCCTCCATACCAGGCAACATCTCCTCTGCACCCTTTCCAATGCTTCCACATCCTTCCTATAATGCAGCGACCAGAACTGTACACAATACTCCAAGTGCGACCGCACCAGAGTTTTGTACAGCTGCAACATGACCTCATGGCTCCGAAACTCAATCCCTCTACCAATAAAACCTAACATACCGTACGCCTTCTTAACAACGCTATCAACCTGGGTGGCAACTTTCAGTGATCTATGCACATGGACACCGAGATCTCTCTGCTCATCCACACTACCAAGAATCTTACCATTAGCCCAGTACTCTGTATTCCTGTTACTCCTTCCAAAGTGAATCACCTCACACTTTTCCGCATTAAACTCCATTTGCCACCTCTCAGCCCAGCTCTGCAGCTTATCTATGTCCCTCTGTAACCTGCAACATCCTTCCGCACTATCCACAACTCCACCGACTTTGGTGTCATCTGCAAATTTACTAACCCATCCTTCTACGCCCTCATCCACGTCATTTATAAAAATGACAAATAGCAGTGGCCCCAAAACAGATCCTTGAGGTACACCACTAGTAACTGAACTCCAGGATGAACATTTTCCATCAACCACCACCCTCTGTCTTCTTACAGCTAGCCAATTTCTGATCCAAACCGCTAAATCACCCTCAATCCCATGCCTCCGTATTTTCTGCAATAGCCTACCATGGGGAACCTTATCAAACGCTTTACTGAAATCCATATACACCACATCAACCGCTTTACCCTCATCCACCTGTTTGGTCACCTTCTCAAAGAACTCAATAAGGTTTGTGAGGCACGACCTACCCTTCACAAAACCGTGTTGACTATCCCTAATCAAATTATTCCTTTCTAGATGATTATAAATCCTATCTCTTATAATCCTTTCCAACACTTTACCCACAACCGAAATAAGGCTCACTGGTCTATAATTACCAGGGTTGTCTCTACTCCCCTTCTTGAACAAGGGGACAACATTTGCTATCCTCCAGTCTTCTGGCACTATTCCTGTAGACAATGACGACATAAAGATCAAAGCCAAAGGCTCTGAAATCTCCTCTCTAGCTTCCCAGAGAATCCTAGGATAAATCCCATCCGGCCCAGGGGACTTATCTATTTTCACACCTTCCAGAATTGCTAACACCTCCTCCTTATGAACCTCCATCCCGTCTAGTCTAATAGACTGTATCTCAGTATTCTCCTCGACTACATTGTCTTTTTCCTGTGTGAATACTGACGAAAAATATTCATTTAGCGCCTCTCCTATCTCTTCAGACTCCACGCACAACTTCCCACTACTGTCCTTGACTGGCCCTAATCTTACTCTAGTCATTCTTTTATTCCTGACATACCTATAGAAAGCTTTAGGGTTTTCCTTGATCCTACCTGCTAAAGACTTCTCATGTCCCCTCCTGGCTCTTCTTAGCTCTCTCTTTAGGTCCTTCCTGGCTAACTTGTAACTCTCAAGCGCCCTAACTGAGCCTTCACGCCTCATCTCTACATAAGCCTCCTTCTTCCTCTTGACAAGAGATTCAACTTCTTTAGTAAATCACGGTTCCCTCGCTCGACCACTTCCTCCCTGCCTGACAGGTACATACTTCTCAAGGACACGCAGTAGCTGTTCCTTGAACAAGCTCCACATTTCAATTGTGCCCAGCCCCTGCAGTTTCCTTCTCCATCCTATGCATCCTAAATCTTGCCTAATCGCCTTTCCCCCAGCTATAACTCTTGCCCTGCGATATATACCTATCTCTTTCCATCGCTAAAGTAAATGTAACCGAATTGTGGTCACTATTACCAAAGTGCTCACCTATCTCCAAATCTAACACCTGGCCTGGTTCATTACCCAATCTTAAATCTTTCCCCTCTCACCTTAAACCTATGTCTTCTAGTTTTGGACTCCCCTACCCTGGGGAAAAGATCTTGGTTATTCATCCTATCAATGCCCCTCATAATTTTATAAACTTCTATAGGGTCATCCCTCAGCCTCTGACGCTCCGGGAAATAGCCCCAGCACATTCAGCCTCTCCCTATAGGTCAAATCCTCCAACCCCGGTAACATCCTTGTAAATCTTTTCTGAACCCTTTCAAGTTTCACACCATCCTTTCTACAGCAGGGAGACCGGAATTGCACGCAGTAATCCAAAAGTGGCCTCACCAATACAGCCACAACATGACCGGGGAGGCAATGGCCTAGTGGTATTATCGCTGGACTGTTAATCCAGAGACCCAGATAATGTTCAGGGGACCCAGGTTCGAATCCCACCACAGCAGATGGTGGAAATTGAATTCAATAAATATCTGGAATTAAGAATCTAATGAATCCATTGCCGATTGTCAGGAAAATCCCATCTGGTTCACTAATGTCCTTCAGGGAAGGAAACTGCCATCCTTACTTGGTCTGGCCTACATGTGACTCCAGACCCATAGCAATGTGGTTGACTCTGAACTGCCCTCTGGGCAATTAGGGACGGGCAGTAAATGCTGCCCAGCCAGCGACGCCCTCATCCCCTGAATGAATAAAAAAAACTCCTATACTCAATAAAAACCGAAAGAACTGTGGATGCTGTAAATCAGGAACAAAAACAAAGTTGCTGGAAAAGCTCAGCAGGTCTGGCAGCATCTGTGAAGTAAAAACAGAGTTAACTTTTCAGGTTCAGTGCCCCTTCCTCAGAACCAATTCCTATACTCAATACACTGACCCATAAAGGCAAGTGTGCCAAACAGTTTCCTCACCGCCCTGTCTACCTGCAACTCTACTTCCAAGGAACTATGAACCTACACTTCCAAGGTCTCTTTGTTCAGCAACACTTCTTTCAGTTTTTATAAAATCTACTATCCCCACCTGCAATTGGCCCAATTATGTCCTACCCTAGATTTGTGAAAAGAAAAAGATTAGCTAGCACAGTTATCCAGAAAGTTTTACAGTCTGCTTTTATATTTCTTGCCAGTTTGTATTCAGTCAGTTTTCTATTTCATACTCAGTTTCTTGGTGCTCCTTTACTGGATTTCAAATTCCTCATCCTTACCACCTTTCCTGGCATTCTTATAAGCCATTTCCTTTAATCCATTCCCCTATGTTATTTGATTAACCCTGGTTGATTTACCTTTCCTGCTGGGTGTTTGCTCCATAGAGGAACATGGATAACTGCAGGCCGTGTGCTATTTGTTTAAATACAACCATTGTCTCTATGCCACTAAAACTTCTATTTTCCTGACCCAACTGGCCATGGCCAACTTGTCCTTCATACCTTCAAAATTTCAGCTCTTCAGATTTATAACTTTAATTCCACTATGCCAAAGGAGCCTTGCCCCACAATACAGAGACAGCACTGGTGTGTGTGAGTGCCAGTACCCACAAAGTGTCAGAACCTGGAACAGTTCAGCATACCCTGAATACTGACTACACAGCGCTGGCCCTCCGACAGTGCCCGCTCCCTCAGCGCTGGCCCTCCGACAGTGCCCGCTCCCTCAGCGCTGGCCCTCAAAATGGGTCGGTCCCTTGGTTCTGACCTTCCGATAGAGTGGTGCTCTACTGGTACTACACAGATCCTATCCTCAAGCCCCTGGTGTTGTGACTCTGGTCAGAGTGCCTCTTCTTGAACCATGGCTGATTGAATGATTGTAGAAAATCAAAAACAAATCAAAAACAAGTTTTATTAAAAATGTATCACATCTCTTGGAAAAAAGTACATGGAACAGTAGTAGCTGAAACTGCATTTGAGAATGATGTCAATTATAACTGGACACAAAATTAACTCCCCTTGCCTCCCCCCAGCCGGGGCTGACCTCTTAAACAATGCCCCACCACCCCACAAGCCTGGGGCTGACCTCTAATCACCCCCTCCCCCAGCCTGGGGCTGACCTCTAACCGCCCCCCAGTCTGTGCCTGACCCGTACCAACGCCACCCCCACCCCCACCACCGGGGGCTGATCTCTTCCACTCTCCCCCATCTGCGCAACCTGGGCCTGACCCCTAATACCCCTCCCCCAGCCTGGGGCTGACCTCCGACCTCCAACCCGAACACGCTCCAGCAACTCCCCCTCCCTCCCCACAGCCTGATCCTGCCTCCTATTCACCCTCCCCTAGCCCAGGGCTGACCTTCTCCCCCCTCCTCGAGCCCGAAGTTTACCTCTAACACCCTCCCCCCACCCCTCACTGTAACAGCAAAAGCATGACCCCTTTTAAGTAGAGACAGAGGTGTAGCAGGGAACTGCGCGATCGAGGGTAACATTAACTCTCTGATTTACAGGGAGCCCAAGGTCAGGGTTGTGGGGTGGGCAGAGACCAAATAATGAGAACCTCAGGCCGAAAGAGAACATCCCCTGGACACACAGCAGCTCAGGACTGGTCTCCATGAACCACCCTACAGCCCTCCCACCCCACAGGGGCAGTCACAGTGACTACCACCCCCCGCCAGGGCCTGGTTACAGTCATACACCCCTCCCCCTCCCCATAGCACCCCACTCCAGCGGTTGTGTGTTCAGGGCTGTTTGCAAACTTGCAAAGTCTCGGAGGAATGGGAAACCATTGCTGTGATCCAGTTAATAACAGATACAAGATCATCCTGGTCCAGTCAGTGTCTTAGTGACAAACACAGCTTGCTCAGGAGCTGTCAATGTCTCTGAGGCAGTGATCGCCCCCTACTGAGGCTGCAGGGGACCTCGAGGTAGCCCGCGGGGGGGCAGGGGTATCCGGGCACCTCCACGTGGGGGCACAAGTGGACCTCGGGCAAATCCGAAATGTGGAGGGCGTGGAGGGCCATTGAATCCAGGTGGGGGCATTGGAGGAGGTGGTCCACGCATTCCATGTGGGGGGGGTCCTAAAGAAGCGAGAGAGAAAAGGAGATTAAGTATAACAGCAAATTGAGAAAACAGCTGTCATCCTCCAGCCCACTCAGATTCTGTCCCACAATCAAGAGACCTCCAACTGCGGTCACACAGAGCCACCATCCCACCAACACGTAAAGACCCTCTCCCACCCAGACCAGGAGCGCCTCCCAATCACACCCCACACTCCCATACAGAGAAATCTCCTCCCCAGTTCCACACAGAGAATTCCCCTGCTCCCATTCAGACCCCACACACAACAATCTCCTCCCTTGACCCAAAAAGAGCCACACAAATACAGTCCCTACCATTCAGCACCCACACACACAAACCTCGTCCTGGTTTGACACACATCCCTCTCCATTTAGCCCCCGCACAAAGGAAAAATCCCTCTGGTCCCACACAGAACCTCTCAACCGCACCCCCCACACACACAGAAACTGCTTCTCTGGTCCCCACACATAGCCCCATTCACACACCCTTCCCCTTCAATCCCTCAGAGAATCACCAGTTTGAATCTGACCCTCAGGCACCTGATCCTCCTGTCTGATGAGACAGCACCTCCTTATTTACTCCTTCATGACTTTGAACATCTCAGTCAAATCTCCTGTTACACTTCCTTGCCTCTAGTATCTCCACACAAAGTGAAGTTGTTTAGCCCTGGGCCAGTCTGTTAAATCTCCCTCCGCAGCATTTCTAAGGCTTCTTTCATAAGACATGTCAGCCTGAACTAAACGCTGCTATGCTCTAACCAAGGTCTGACCAGTGGTTTCTGAAGGATTCAGTACCAGTTACTCGCTTTTGTATTCTGTTCCTCCAGAAATAACTTTCTGAGCCCGATAGCTTTAACAGCATTCTCAACTTGTCCTGCCACTTCCAACTATTTCAGATTTTCCCCAGCACAATCAGACTGTTGATGCCACACAGAGCCCTCCTTACCCATGTGATGTCCAAATGGGGGTCCGCGAGGGGGCATCACCATGGGGGGAGGGTTGTGATGCTGCATCCCAGGTGGGGGAGGTCGGTGAGGAGCACTCTGTGCCGGCCCACTGGACAGGGGAGCCATGCTGTGTGGTCCGTGATGTGGCACCTGCATTGGGTGCATTCCTAGAGAGAGAGAGAAAAAGGCAAGTACAGGTTATATCAACATCATCACTACCCACAGGGTCAGCAGTAACACTCTCAGGTCCAACACTCACCGTGCGGGGGCATGCCTCCTGGAGGAAACGGAGGTCCCACATGGTGCGGCGTTGTCCCAGGTGGGCCAGATGCTGGTGGTCCAGGTGCTGATGTGCTGGGGGGCATTGGAGGTGGCATCGCTGGAGGCATCCCTGGAGGCATTGCTCCTGGTGGAGGCACTGGAGGTGGGAATGATCCTGGGTGTGGCATACCTGCAGGCGAGAGCATTGAGACATGAGGTGGGGGTGGGGGGTGTCAGACATGAGCAGGGTGGGTGTAAGATACAAAAAGGGGACGGGGCGAGAAACGAGAGCGGGGGGGGGGGGGCGAGAGACGACAGCAGGGGGGACGGAAGACAAGGGGGTCCCGGAAGTGAACAACAGTGAGGGTTGAGGAATGTTACGTTGAGATTATGACACCAGAGGATTCCCTCTCCCTCCCCTCCACAGTCAGCGAGCGTCAGTCAGCATTGTCCAACCTCCCTTAAACCACCCCAGCCCTCTGTCCCGAGCTGCAGGTGTGTGCGTGTGCGTGTGCGTGTGCATGTGCGTGGGGGGTGGTGTGGGGGGCGGGGGCAGCACAGAGTGTGCAGATCAAGACCCATAGAATACATCCTCCCCCCACCGCCTCAAGATACAGAGTAGCAGATACAGCAGTCCAAGACCCCCCGACTATCCGCCCCAAACACCTTCCCCACTGAATCCCATCTCTTCCTACCCTGGGTCCAGTC